TCTATTCTTGGTGCTTACTATGTCAGAGTCATCTCTGAGGACATGAGTGTCACTCATCCACCATGCTCCAAGTCAAAAAGAACTGGGTTTAAACACGACTCTTTTCTGCCCCTTTGGATTTTAGTGTGCTTTTGTTCATAAGCTTCTTGCATACATACCTGCAAAATTTGAGTCTTAGCCCCATCATCTTCGCTTATCCCATTCTCTATATAACACCTCTTTAAACCTAACCAAGTGAACTGCCCCCGCAAGTAGATACATGTATGATTGCTTTTCCTTTCATAGGTCTGTGGTGATATTATTCAGGCTCTGAGCTTTCCCTTATCAAGGTTGGAATGACATCCCTGCCTTGCCTTTGAAGGTCTGGTTTCAGGGTCCTTCCTGAGCAGCATACCTGCAGTGTGGTTAGCCCCGCTGGCTGCTAGCCTGCCTGCCCCTCTCAGCCCTCTGCTTGTGCTCTGACTTGTTCTCCTTTCTCCAAAGATCCGAGAGTTCCTCGTTTAAATGAGGCATCTAGTGCATTTTAGGTACTGTAGAGAGAAATGAGCTAGACCAACATACATGGGTGGTGAAGCTGCTGAGAGTGGCACAGTTCATAGCTGTTTTATGAGTAGTGAGGATACAGCAGCAAAGTTTTCTATCATTTGTGTTGAGGTGTGAAATCATGGAGCAAAGGTGAACTGTCTCCCCATGCAACCATTGATCTTAAATACTTACGGAAGTGTTCATAGCAATTTCACTTTGGCTTTACCCATGGAGCATTTGTTATGCACGATAAACCTGATGGGAGCTTACTATAGATGGTCATCATCCAAGGACTGAAGGAACTATAACCTTTCTGCCTCTTTGTCTGAATTATATTTGGTTTGAAGGTGGCTTTGTGGGAGGAAAAAAAGTCAACAAACAGCAAAGGAAGAAAGCTAATAATTAAAGCACTCCATGGAACTGTTTAGGAGTCAAGGGGTGAAACTTTGGACAATGAGAATTGACATTAATAGCTGGAAAAAGTCTGCAAGGTGTAGGAGGCTGTAGAGCAGTCTCCAAGCGAGATAATAGAAGAAGAAAAACCTGTGAAGACTGCTGAGATAAGACATGAGTATAAAAGGTCTTTGGCTGAAAGGGAGAAGTTTGTTATTCTTTTCTATCTTGAATTTTTAGTAATGCCAAGGAAGAAAGGAATTCTGTCACCTCTAGGAATTTTTTTTTTATTTTTTTATTTTTTTTTTACTTCAGTGAAAACTGAACACTTCGGATTTGTACTAGAAGTTTTTAGTTCATTCTTTGGTTAAACTAGTGGGCAAGAGTCAATCTTAGCTGATAGTGTCTTGCTCTTCTTTTTCTGGCACTTGTAGGTTTCCCATAGGGAAGGGGAGGTTCTGGGATCCCCATTGTTGGAGTTACTTGGAACTCAGCTAGATGTAAGCCCCAGCTTCTCATCTAAGTTTGAAGTGGGATCTAAATTGAGAGTTTGCCTTGCTTTATGTGGGAGGCTGCACCCTTAGAGGTCACATCCAAATTAACTTATCCTCTGATACTGAAAGAAGAAATTGTGCAGCATCTTGAGTAGAGTAAAAAAAAACCAAAAAGGAATCCCAGTGAAGTAAATTAAAATGGTTTAGATCTAAAAATGCCAAACGTTAAATCCATTTAGTGAAGAAAACTATTCAGAAAAGTCAGTTAACTGCTAGTGTGAGTTTAAGAAGTGATAAGGATGGGAAGCATTGATCTGTTTTATTACTGCACAGCTGTTTTGCTAGAAGCGTGCTGATGAGATCAACTACTTTTTAGTGCATATCAGACTACTGAAATCAAAGATTTTCTGCAGTCTTTTAAAAATGCAAATAAATTCTTTGCTGTCTCATCTTTTTATGTTTTATATGTCTCAAAAATGATTCTCTTTTCTTCTGTTCCACTACTTCTACAAAGTATTCCATGATTATAAATGATTATGGGTGACAAAAATACTGCTGTCTGTCTTGTTAGAACTAGATATATATATCTCCCAAAATATATAGTTGTAGACCCTGTTTTTCCTGTAGGAGCACTGTCTAGTAAAATACAGAAGGAAAGGTATTAACAGCAAACATCATGATAGACTTCTTGACATATTTTATTGAGCCTGCTATGGTCAGGAAAAAAGGCAAGTAAAACCACTTAAAAATAATTCAGATGTCCTTTCATTCTTGAGTAGGCAGGCAAAACTCATTTAATCAAAACATCTGCTTGTTTCAAGAGCTTTGTGAGAGATTTTTAAGGCTCTCTTACTTCTGAGACCTTCTGAGGTTCAACTCAAGATCTGACTCTAATGGTTTTCAGTCTTACAAGAATTTATGGAGTCTGTTGTGTAAGATCAGTTCCTGATAACACAGATCTGGTTTATAGTAAACAAAGCCACCTACTCCTTTAAAATAGTTCAGTCGGTGCTTGAGACCTTCACTGCCATATGGAGAGACTGGTAGGTATAAATGGGTAGGTTTATACTGTAGGTTTAAACCTCGTGTAGCATCTAATGTTGTTTGTCTGGGGTTTTTTTCCTCTAGTCCTGGCCAGTTGGTGTGTTCACAGTTCTTTTCCTGTGGCATGCTTTGCTTTCCTATCTAGTGTGTATTAAAGAAACAGAGAATCTTTTTTTTTTCAGTCTGCCCTTATTTACCAAAAGGCAGCTGTTGCACTCAGCTGTTACTGGGCTTTTTTCGTTGAAGTAGTTTCTCAGTCTCTCTCATACACTGACAGGCTAAAGGCATTGACATCTTACTGTATGCTTGTATGTATACTTTCAGGGTGACTTCTGGTTTCGTGGGATAAAATGTAACTGTTTCTGTGAAGTGAAAGAGCTATTCCTTCTATAGATGCAGCAAATCTGTGCATGTTTAAAAATTACTGCCTTCTGTCATAATTTGATGCATGGTATAGAAGCTGTTTGTCTAGTAACAGACTAATGTGAATTTGGAAGTTCTAGATACTGGTTTCTGTTTTGCTTGGTTACCCAAGAGTCAAGTCACAAGAATACTCAGCATTTCATTTCCCTGCTTGTCTCTGTAAAATAAACATTCTCATCATAGCAGAAATAACATGGTATACTTAAAAAAAAAAATAAAAAAATCACAACAGCAGTCCAGTGTTTAGTTTTAGTGGTTATAGACACATCTTTTTCTGTATCTAATTTAGATACTCTAAATGCAAAAACATTTCCTAATATATTTCAGTTGTGTCTTCTGTTCAACAGTCCTCTTTGACCCAGACTGAGTGATGAGAAAGTAATGTTCTCTGTTTGGTAAAGTTTCATTATTGTTTACACTGTTGTTCCATACTTAGTTTTGTGGGCTTAGAGAAACAATTTTAGGTCATCAGCAGTTGTTTTTCTGATTACAAAAATAATCTTTATCCACTAATTACATATTTATACTGAGAAACAAGTCTGAATAAGATGTGGGTGAGAAAAGAGAATTTGTGTGGCAGGAAGAAATTGTACACATGTGCAGCAGTCCTCCCCCACTGTCTTAGTGAGTTCAGATTGGTAGACACAATTGCCTGTATGTCTGTATAAGTGTCCTCGGTTCAGTCTGGCTGGGCTTAAACCACGACAATAGGAGATGCTGGTATCTTGATCCTTGCTCCTTTTTGATACAAATTGAAGAACCATAAAACTTGATTCAGTTTGCATCTTAATTAGTTCCTGGAGGTTTGCAAAGAGATGTGGTTACTGTTTGCCCAGTGGCATGCTGCTTAACCTGGAAAAATTCCAGCTGTGGTTAATAACCATTTGCCAGGATAGAGCCTACGTTGTCTATATTAATAATTTGAAAGAATTATAAAATATTTATGTATTTATTTAAATTTCACAGGTGTTTTCTTTCTTTCTTGCCCTCTCTTATTTAAACTAATGTTTGCTTGATCTTCATATACTCAGCATCCAGATTTGCTGAGAGAGCCAGGTTCAGAGGACACCTGGGAGCCTGTGGATTCTTAGTTTCTAGATACTTGCATAAATGACCTGGGATGGTACAGATAGATTAAAAGAGCACAAATCTTCATGAGGCCAAGAACAGTTCCAGGGAATATGTACCTCATTCATCGTGGCTTGTCTGTACTAATGAAGAGAGGTTAAAGTTTAACATGTGTAAGGGTCACAGGGAAGTGAGGTGGTGATTTGCTGCTTCTACTAGAGCAGTAGTGCATCAATTGCCTAATCAGAAGTAATAAAATTATATTAACAGGCTGTGGGGTTTGGTGGTTCTGGTTTTTGGGGTTTTTTTGGTTGGTTTTTGTTTTAGGTTAGCAAGCAGGAACAGAGGAGTCAGTGTTTCTCAGTACATGTAGCACGGAAGCCAGCTGTTTCTTACAAATGATGTAATTCAAGCCTTAGCATGTGTGAAAATAAATAATTAAATACTCCCTTTGGTTTTCATTAACAGGCCTCCTAGGTCTCCTCAGACATGAAGCATATTAACTACTGCAGTCATTCTCTGTGATGTAGTGTCTTTCTCAAACTACTGTCTGTATGTAGAGTCCAGCCACTGCTGAATAGCAATTTTGTCAATGTCCAAGGTGTTTGTTCACAAAAGCATTAAAGAAATCAAATTCAATAACTACATATCTGTGATGGCTCCCTCATGCCTTGTCCGGGCTTTTAGCTTAGCTATAACCATTGCAGCACCTGCACTGCTGGAAACTCTGTAGTTGTCAGCATGAGTGGTGCTGGCTGAGATTGTGGCACCCTTTGCCTGGGTGAGAGCTGATGTTCCTGGCTTTAGCAAAGTGAGCATTTTCCAGAAAATACCTCACTCCTTTGCTGTCACCTCTGTAGCCTTGGCAAAAGCAGAGGTGGGACTGCAGGTCTGTTTGTATTCTGGGCAACTTGGAAATAAAATTGCCCGTGGCTAGTGAGTCCAGACACTCACGCAAGAGTAAAACATTTTTGTTAGAAAATGTTAAGGCAGTTGCAGCTTGAAATATGGGTAGAATGAAGTTTTATGTTTCACTGTCATCCTGATAACATTATGCGACTAAAAGTTGGTTCTTTGAAGGAGTATGAGGTAGGTAAAACTGAGATGAGCCTTGAGCTCACCGTGGAGCAAATGCATATCGTTTGAGGTAACATATATTCATTATACCTTTCCATTCTTCTTGTGTATGATTAAAAACTTAGATATGAAGCTGCACAAGTCCAAGGCTTTCTAAAGGGTTCGTGATATAGCTGAGACTTCTGAAGTCATGACCCTGTTTTTTTTACCTTTCCCCCATTGTCTTTGCTGAGTGATAAACTGATGACTCATTCCTTGCACTCAGGGGTGAAGTAATGCTTCCTGTGTTGTCTGTCTGTCTTATTTTGTAATCTGTTACTTATTCTTTTAAATCCAGTAGCCCTATGTCTGTGTATGTGTATCTGTTTATCCTTATCTATGTATCTGTGCTTCCTTGTCTCTGGAAAGAATCTTACTGATATATTTCTGAGCACCCAGAATATAAACATTCAGTTTTCACTGTTCAACCTTTTTTTTTCCCCCTAGGAGTCCTTTGCTGTTTCCTCTATTGGTTTATGTACATTACTGCATTATGCTTAAGCATTAGATAACCATAGAAGTGTCTGAAAAAGACAGAGGTCATGTCTCCGAAGCTTTTCTTTTTTTTTTTTTTTTTTTTTTTTTTTTCCCTCCAAATACTTTTTAACAGAGGATTTTTTTTTTTTTTTTTTTTTTTTTTTTTTCTCCAACTAATGTTTAACAGAGGATATTTGTTTTGTTGGGAAACTGGCATACTTGGCATGGATTTTTTTTCTCAAAGAAATTTGGGGAAATTAAAAAGTTGGCAAAATTATCTGTTGTAATCATAGATGGTAGCCCTGCATTTGTTGTTACAGCAGCAGAAGGCTGCACAGGCTGCAGAAGAACCTTACTCTCCTAGGCCAGTCAAAGCAGTGGGTTGTAACCAAGCATTGGCCCCACAGAGGTTTAGTAGATAGCATATGCATGTTCCTACCTTACAACCATATCAGAAACTATGACTGTTTACTTAATATACTTTAAAATATGTGGCATAATTACAACATCTGTGGGCTGCCATAGACAGATTTGAGAGTATCATCTAGGATGGCAGAATAAAAATGAACACCTAAAATAAGGAATATGTTTCTTTGAAAAACACAGCTATTTACAGTAAAAAAAAACAAAACCAAAAAAACACCCAAACACCAAACTGCAATAACAATTATTATGAAGGTGAAAGCAAATTTGCAGGAGACTCAATAACATGAATGCTTGAGTAAGAGAAAGGAGTGAAAAATAACAGAGATTGCATAACTTTCCCAAGTAATTAGTCTGTAGCTTCTCGCATGCTTCTGAAGTGTTTTTATCTTTCATTTTGTGTTTGAATTTGTCACATTATACTGGTCCCTTCAGGTGCAAGAGTTTTACTGAAAACACAGGGTATTGCAAGAGCTGAAGCTCTTCCGACAAAGTGCTGATGATGGTGAATTCCTGTCAGGGAGACAAATGGGCAATTCATCTAGTGTTACAACTTTTATAATGTGCATGTTGGTCAAATACAAGTTCACTTCAACTAATCTTTCAGAAAACAAACCCAAATTAGCCATTCCAGAAAAATAACAGCAGGAAGCACCTCTTATGGTTGCAACCTGTTTGTCATAAATCACCAGATGCTCATATTTTATATTTTTTTGGTCTCCTCTAGGTGCCTGAGATTATAAGCTCTATTCGACAAGCTGGAAAAATTGCTCGTCAGGAAGAGTTTCAAAATAATCTCTCAGATGTCGAAGACCCGTTTGCCAAAAAATTTGAGGTGCTGTTCTGTGGACGGGTGACAGTAGCACATAAAAATGCACCTCCAGCACTCATAGATGAATGCATTGAGAAATTTAATCGTGTAAGTTGTACAAAAAAATCAGATTGCAACTCATCATCCCAACAACATGAAACTGCCAATAACTTCGGAGGCTTCTCTTTCAGTGACAAATTTCGGTCCGTCTTCCAGCCCTTGGTCAGTGAAGAAGAGGAGAAAAGGCCAATTAGGAAATCCTTTTCCCAGCCTGGGCTGCGTTCTTTTGCTTTTAAGAAGGATTTGCAAGAGGGAAGCCAAAGGAGTAGCAGCTTTGTCAGGTCTTTTGAAGAAGATGCCATTTCACTGAACCTAAAAAGTCAACTTATCTATGGACACAGTGTTGTGCAGCCAACAGACATTGCAGAAAACCGGACAATGTTGTTTACGGTAAAGCAAGATTTGCAGCTTTTGGTGCTTTCTCATCTTGGAGTTTGGAGTGGCAAACACCAAAGCAGATGTTCTGACAGATGGCTGTTACTTCTTTAATAACTTAATTGCAATTACTACAGCTGAACTTAAACTTGCCGGTTTCTCTAGGTAGCATTACTAGTCAGTGTAAATGGTTTTATGTAGTCAAAATCAGTTTATATTAAATAGTTTAAAACAGCACTACCTGTAATACTTGGCTTCTAAAAACAGCTTTTGGAAAGCTGGAGCAAGTTAGTGGGTAGTTACACAATTGCAAAATGGTATGTACAGTTACGCTAACTAGTAACAGCAGAAATAAATTTCCAGGTGAATGAGTTAACTGTAACTAGAGCAGAAGGACTAAACCATGACTGGGGGCTGGTAGACTTTATGTCCCATGATAGGCAGCATAATTCGTGGAGGCGTTCCTGCTGCCAACATGCCTGTGTAATGATGGAGTAGTGTAGTAAGTTCCTAGGCTACTCCACACCTGCCTCCACTGCTGACCTGCTCTTGTGTGGCTAGCAATGCCTTGCCTTGATAGGTCAGCAGCAAAATTATTTTTTAAGACCTGAGGAGTAAAGAATGTGTTATTTGCTCCTCTTATAATCCTCTTGATACGTAAGTTTTGTAACATTTTATATATATATCTTGTATCATGTGATCAGAATGCAAACCTGGAGTTGATATTGTGATGGCTAACTATCATAAGATTGTCTTAGATCTGTCAGCTGCTGTTGGGGCTGGGAGGTTTTAAGGACAGCAACAGACTGAAGTGGGTGCAGTTACAGCAGGTTTTTTGGAGGAGGGGAAGAGAAGCGTTGCTTTAAGAAGGATTGCCAAAGTGTTGTCTGTAAAAAGTAACACACAGAAAAAGAGGTGTAGTTAGCTATACCTGATTTAAAACTTCTGGTTAGTTGTGGCAGGCTGGCATCAGAGAGAGAAGTGGAAGAAAGTGGAGAGAAATTTTATGCCACAGTAAAAACAATTGCATGTTTACTTTCTTCCCCTGAGCATGTATTTCATACAGAAAATACAGACACAAATCCTGACTCTGTTATTGATTCACGGCACATACTCTAGGGATAGGGATGTTATAGGTGGACTGCTTAAAGTTCAGATCCTCTTACTTTAGTGAGTGCATTTTTAATTTATGTTAAATAGATGCAGCAGTTCTCAAAGACACATGCAGCTTCAGCCTGAACATAACGTCAGTCACCTGCTGACAGGCTCATTTCCCAATTGTGAGGTTCTGCTGATCTGGCTTTCTATCTTGGGTTGCTTTTTGCCTGGGAAAATATTGTTTAGAATGCGCGGTTGTATTCTTTTGCTATTCAGCTGGTCTAAATTCAGCTGAATATAAGGAAGTGAAGTAACTGTGATTTGTGCCTCTGGTGTTCGCAAGCTTGTGGCAGAGCTGAGTTTGTTGGTTAGCCATCCCCCATGGTGAGGAGGTTCTGAGTAACGGTATGCATGCAGTGTGCACAGGTCGTCTTCACCTTTGCTCATCAATTTGTGTATGGGTACATATGAAGCTCTTAAAAGTAACTCCATATCATGAGGAAAAAGTTTGTTTGTATTTTTGCAATTAAAGTTCTTACTTGGATCTTCCCCAGGACTGCAGCAGAGGTTAGTTGGTGTATGAGGTGTGAAAAATGTTGAGATGAGTTATCTGCTGACTTTCCTCACCTTGTCCAGACAGTCCAGATTTAGTGTCTCTTCCTGAAAAACTGCTTTTCTAGCCAATTTCTTAGGATTTTTTAATTAATTTTAGGCTTTTCTCCTGGTTGCCTTTTTTTTTTTTTTTTTTTTGGGGGGGTGGTGTTGGGGAAGGGTTGTGTTGTTGGGTTTTGCTTTTTTTCCCCCTTTTTCAGTTGGCTTCAAATGATCCCTGCTGCCCTGGGATCAAGTGTGAAAGGAGTATGTGGGGCTGAGCTAAGAAGGAGCCTCCTGCTGCTGGGAGAGGAAGGCAGCAGCAAGCAGGAGGGAGCTGCTGGGTAGGTGTTGGAAGGAATGACCGCATGAGCACACGCAAGGTCAGCCTGGGGACAATACAAGGAAACCAGTAGGGAGTTGGGGAAAATCATCGTGACTGGTTGAAGTGAAAGAAGAGGTGGAAGGTGACCATCTATAGACATACAGAGGTGGTGGCACATCTCACTTAATTCATACACAGGATTCCCACCTTCCTTAAGAAATTATGGACATATTGGTGCTTCTGATGTTTTTATGTACATCTTTCAGGATTTGATAGTGGGTTGAAGCTTCAGCAGGTTTGTTTTAAGTCATGCTCCTGAATGGATCCTGATTCCACCTGTCTTCCCTAAAATCAGACATGAGGCTTGTCCATAGCAGAATTTTTGATGTGCTAGAAACTATGAGGAATTTAAATTGTATCTGTTAAAATGTTACAAAGATGTTGCCAGAAGCTGAAAAATTGAAAACAGCAGTTTCACCCTAAAAATGTCCTTTGGCCATCAAATGTTAGCATGAGCTTTTGGGTCACTGCTGTACAAATGTGCCACAGATTAAGTCAGAAAATGTACTCCAGTAAGCTCATTTGTATAGTTCAAGTTAAAGCCTTTAAATTAAATAGCTAGTATATCTTAAATAAATAAAAGCCTAAAAAATAATTAGATGGAATATAGGTAGAGGCACACACTTGGATTTAAATTTTAGAACCAATTTCATTAATTAGCTTTTTGGGAACGTGGTATGTGCCAAGACTGCAGAAAATAAGAAAAGGTAGAGTGAGTGTATTTTCTCAGTGCAAACTAAGTTATTTATGGTATAATATTACTCTCATTTAATTAAACAGTGTTCTCAGTCTCTTGTCTCAAACATGAAACTAAATCTTAGTTAGTAATGTGCAGAGCTCTGAATGCTGTGTAAGTGTTGTTTCTGTA